ACTAGGAGTTCTTGGTTAAATTGGTGCTATTGGGCTGTTTCTTCAGGGGCAGCTGATCTCAGTCGAAGTATATACTTATGATTCTGGTGATCTGTTTTGGTGGCTGGGCAGCGCCTTCTTCTGTGTTCCCAGGTCACGTTTTGTTCATTTGTCAACTCCTCAGCTGATTTGTTTCTTCAGACTTCAAACTGTAGGGATCTGAATCCTCTCCCAGGTGGATTTCAGCTGAGCGGGGTAGTCTCACCAACACCTCCAAGTTGTTGGGTTTTGCAGGATCAGCAGCTGGGCCCTGGGTTGTCCTCAGACAGAGTGTTCAGATTCGTTCTGGTTCCATCCCATGGAGATAGCTTCTTCCCCGGGTATTGGGGTTAGAGGCGTCCCTGCCTCTGCTTGTCGCTGCTGCCGGGCTACCTCTGCGGACCACTGCTGGGCCTGTATGTCCCTGTTGGCCACCGCTGCTGGGCCAGTCTACCTGGTCTTGACTTTTGTTTTCTTAATCAGCCATTTTGACTAGAATAAGATGAAATTCCAGAGTGGTTTTAATTTGAATTTCTGTTATGGCTAACAATGGTGAATAATTTTGAAAATATACCTTAAGCAAGTATATTTCTTCTTCTGAGAACTTATTTTTGTATTGTCAGTCAGTTGTAGGCACTTGGCTGTGTAGTTAGATGGTCAGGGGAATTTACTGAGAGCATCCACATACTACAGAAGCCTTGGTTCCCAACATCTTCCCTGGTCCTCCCCTCCCATCATCCATTTTGTCAGATTTGATGTCTTCCTGTGTCAATCCAGAAAAATCTAACTGATCCAGTAGATTGTGCATTTGGGATCAGTGTTTTCTGGGTGCATCACATTATTTTTCTGAAACACTGGCCACAAATATCTTACATAGGATTTGGTTTCAGCAGGAAATAGCATCACTCTTACCCACAACATCTTTGAGAATTTAAAGCCACTATAGGAAGTATATGGAGGAAGCATTGCCTTGTCCAGAGCTTTGGTATAGAATTGAGTTGTCAGAGACAAGTCTTGAGCAAGAGCATATCCTCTTTCTGTTTTGTACTGGATGTCTTCATCCTTGATAGGGGTTCCGGGTTGCAGTCTGGTCTATCTCATGGGTGTGTCCTGCTGTGCAGACTGTATCACTAGTTCTGTTTGCTGTTTATGTGGAGATCTGGCATGAGGCTCTGCCATGGGCCTTAGAGCTGCTCTTCTTGGACTTGGTAAGTGAGACAGGTGTCATTATTTTTAGTCAAAGTGGTAATGAATACAGAATCCCAGATTTTTAACGTAGGATCTTCTCATAGAAATATCTCTCTGAAGACCTGGCCTGGTGGCATCAGAGGAGTTTTCCATGGACTCAGTCTGTCTATCTGGTCTTGGTCTTTTGATCTGAGCTCTGGGGTCGGGATCAGTGTATAACAGGACAGACTTCTCTT